TAGTAGTAGTAGCAGTATTAGTAACAGTAGTCGTAGCAGTAGTAGCAGTAGTAGTAGTAGTAGTAGTAGCAATATTAGTAACAGTAGTCGTAGCAGTAGTAGCAGTAGTAGTAGCAGTATTAGTAACAGTAGTCGTAGCAGTAGTAGCAGTAGCAGTAGTAGCAGTAGTAGTAGCAGTATTAGTAACAGTAGTCGTAGCAGCAGTAGCAGTAGTAGTAGTAGTAGCAGTATTAGTAACAGTAGTCGTAGCAGTAGTAGCAGTAGTAGTAGCAGTATTAGTAACAGTAGTCGTAGCAGTCGTAGTACCTGAGACTGTCGTTGTGGGTCTTGTACTCCATGATGGTGTTGGCTGGAAGGTTCAGGACTCGTCTTAAAGTGTCTCTGATTCTGGACGTTGTCATTTGGTCATTGGACGTTTTGTTCCAGATGGACAAGATGTCTTCCTGATATGGAGACAGGTAGAGACAGACAGGTAGAGTTAGGCAGGTAGAGAAAGACAGGAAGGGACAGACAGGTAGAGATGGACAGAAAGGGACAGACAAGTGGAGACAGACAGGAAGGGACAGACAGGTTCTCAGAGTATGTCAGTTTGTATTCCTGAACCAGGTCCTGGACAGACCTTATATTATCACTCTCTAATGTTATTGGACAGTTTGAACAAATCTATCAGTATTGTCAGAGTCACGTGACCTTTAGGGAGAATATATTTCTGGATCGTATTTAAGAGTAAGTGGAGTAATGAAGTAAACACAACAGCTAAGAAGGTTCTAAATGATCATTAACAGTATGAACACAGACTCACACACAGAATCACTCTGTCATTTCACAGTGATCCATATTTTCTGTGTCACCACACACTTAGTGCTCCATCTCTACTGTGAATGATTCATTTAAAACTTTTATGTTTTATCTAGATCACGTTATTTAATAAATGTAATTATGTGACAGCGGGCACATTGGAAAGTGTAAATGATAAGGTTTCTATCTGATAAAAACTGGTGGAGACATGAATCCAAATAAATGACATATTAATCTAAATCCTGCTGAGCTCCACTGGCACAGGTTTCATTGAAGAGGCCCCACCCTCACTTCCAGCAAATCGTGTGCAAAGCATTGTGGGGATTTTAAACCTGCAGAGGATCCACAGATGCATCCTTGGAATTTCTCTGAGAGAAGGACTCAGTCCTTCGTGAAACTCAGAAGGATCCTTGACATTGGAACAGTCCTTCCGTGGGTATATGACGTAGCATCCTCCAAATTCGGCCGTTTGAGGATCCTTCCTTGACTTTGAGAAACACCCAGTAACTCATAAATCAAATGCAGCAGACTGTCAGTGCGGTCGTACTGCAGTAGTTCTGTGGTCTCTCTGCATTATTACAGCAGTAGTTATGCAGTACCACATCAGTAGTTATGCAGTACCACTGCAGTATTACAGCAGTAGTTCTGCAGTGGTTCTACTGCAGTAATAGTACAGAAGTAACAGAAGCACCTGAAAGCGTATAGAGACCACAGCTCCACAGATCTCCTCTCCCACCATGAACTGTTCTCCCAACATGGCCAGTATGATGTTCTCCCAGAACCGACTGGCCAAACCTTTACGAAGACGAATGATCCACTTCCCCCCACTGCGGTTAGAGTCATCCTGGGGGGGCAAGGACAGGACAAGTGATTACGATGTCAATACGACTTCAGAGCATAAACAAATCAACAGCATCAACAGTATCAGTATCAATAGTATAACTACACTATAACTACAGTATATCAACGGTATATCAAAAGTATAAGTACAGTATATCAAAACTATAACTACTGGGGTGTCAGTGGATTAGTGGGAGAGCAGGCACCCCATGTACAAGGTTGTTGCTGCAGCGGCCAGGGTTCGACTCCAGCCTGTGGCCCTTTGCTGCATGTCACTCCCTCTCTCTGTCCCCCCTTCACGCTTATCTGTCCTATCAATTACAGGCTTAAAAATGCCCAAAAAAATCTTTAAAAAAAAAAATAAAAATATAACTACTGTATATCAACAGCAAATCTACAGTACAGGGTGGTGTTACAATAACACTACAGTGCAGTACAGGGTGGTGTCACAGTATCACTACAGTGAAACTACAGTACAGGGTGGTGTTGCAGTGTAACTACAGTAAAACTACAGTGCAGGATGGTGTTACAATAACACTACAGTGCAGTACAGGGTGGTGTTACAGTATCACTACAGTAAAACTACAGTACAGGGTGGTGTTACAATAACACTACAGTGCAGTACAGGGTGGTGCTACAGTGTAACTACAGTACAGTACAGGGTGTTGCTACAGTACAGGGTGATGTTACAGTGCAACTACAGTAAAACTACAGTACAGGGTGGTGTTACAATAACACTACAGTGCAGTACAGGGTGGTGCTACAGTGTAACTATAGTACAGTACAGGGTGGTGTTACAGTGTTACTATAGTACAGGGTGGTGTTACAGTGTAACTACAGTACAGGGTGATGTTACAGTGTAACCACAGTACAAGGTGGTGTTACAGTGTAACCACAGTACAGTACAGAGTGGTGTTATAGTGTAACCACAGTAAAACTACAGTACAGAGTGGTGTTACAATAACACTACAGTGCAGTACAGGGTGGTGCTACAGTGTAACTACAGTACAGGGTGGTGTTACAGTGTTACTACAGTACAGGGTGGTGTTACAGTGTAGCCACAGTACAGTACAGGATGGTGTTACAGTGTAACCACAGTACAGTACAGGATGGTGTTACAGTGTAACCACAGTACAGTACAGGGTGGTGTTACAGTGTAACCACAGTACAGTACAGGGTGCTGTTGCAGTGTAACTAAAGTACAGGGCGGTGTTACCTCCCACATGGGTTTGATTCCTTCCTTGAACAGGTGGAAGTCACTGTGTCCACTCAGATCACCTGGTCTCACCAGGTGACTGTAGAACCTCCAGAACTGCTCCACCTGAACACGCGCACACGCACACACACACATGCACGCACGCACGCGCGCACACACACACACACACACACACACACACAGCTGATGAAGGTGATGATGATGATCAGACACTGAAGATATGATGTCACCTGCACCTAAAGACACCTGTGTGTGTGTGTGTACCGATGCCACTGAGCCGATCTGTCGGATGTTTTGTTCGTAGCTCTGAGAACTTGCAGGACGACTCGGAGTTCTTCTGCTGTACCAGAAGGTGTAGTTATATTGGAGGGGGTGTTCACCTACACCTGGACACACCGCCTGCACACAGACAGGCGCAGACAGGTACAGACAGGTACAGACAGACAGATACAGACAGGTAAAGACAGGTACAGACAAGGACAGAAAGGTACAGATAGGTACAGATAGACAGGTACAGACAGGTACACACAGACAGGTACAGACAGGTACACACAGACAGGTACAGACAGACAGATACAGACAGGTAAAGACAGGTACAGACAGGTACACACAGACAGATACACACAGGTACAGACAGACAGGTACACACAGACAGATACACACAGGTACAGACAGACAAGTACACACAGACAGAGACAGACAGGTACACACAGACAGGTACAGGCAGGTACAGACAGGTACAAGTACAGACAAAGGAGATGGAGTCAGTTGATCACAGTCCGTCAGTAGTTAACTGAATGAATGAAGAATGAATGAATGAATGAATTCATTAATGTGTGATGTCACTGACCCACAGTTTCTGCTGTCATAATGAAACGTCATTTTTCACAGGTTTAAACACAAACATGTCTGACGACCCTGATAGTGTAAAAACAGAGACTGTCTCCCATCTGTGTCTCAGGGCAGAGCTCCACCCTGTCCTCTACAGCTCCATCACCATCTCCACCCTGTCCTCTACAGCTCCATCACCATCTCCACCCTGTCCTCTATAGCTCCGTCACCATCTCCACCCTGTCCTCTACAGCTCCGTCACCATCTCCACACTGTTCTCTACAGCTCCGTCAGTCTCCACCCTGTTCTCTACAGCTCCGTCACCATCTCCACCCTGTCCTCTACAGCTCCGTCACCATCTCCACCCTGTCCTCTACAGCTCCGTCACCATCTCCACCCTGTCCTCTACAACTCCGTCACTGTCTCCACCCTGTCCTCTACAGCTCCGTCACCATCTCCACCCTGTCCTCTACAACTCCGTCACCGTCTCCACACTGTTCTCTACAGCTCCGTCACCGTCTCCACCCTGTCCTCTACAGCTCCGTCACCATCTCCACCCTGTCCTCTACAACTCCGTCACC